TGGAACTCTGAACAAAGTCTGATCTGTTGAAGTCTTGGATTGGATCATGCAGGTTTTATGTCACATTAAATGTCTCACTTACTGTGTGTGTGGCCGACAGACAGTAAATGTACCATCAGAAAATGTCCCAGAAGTGCAGTCAGAACACTCAGTGTCTGTGGCTGCTGTTCCTGTGGGAACACACATGAACACAGATACTTGGAAAGACATGTTGTTTAAATCTTATCTTTCTTTAAAACTGGTTCCAAAGCTACACTGCCTCCAACGTAGCTGTTAACAGCAATCAATTACTATGAAGTTACCATTAATGACATGAGTGTCATTGATTAGTGCAGTAACAACAAAGGCTCATTCACAATACCATTATTTCTGATGTACTGTCCTGGTTGACACCTCGTGTGGTTCTGTGCTGCTGTACAGTGGTTCTCTGTCCTGTTTATACAGAAGAATCCGTCCAGAGGTTCACATGTTGTATCCTGCACCACTGTGCATGGGGTCAGAGTCTTTAGACCCAAGTCTGTCAGGATACAAAGGTGACAAAGGTCAAACGTAAAGGGTGACACAGTGGAAGTAGAACAGGAACAAACACGTTTTAGTGGAAATAAAGTTTTTCTTTCACAACAAAGACAAAGGGAAGAAAGTGGTGAAAATCAGTGTTGATTTTACTGGACATTAATGACTATAAAAAGTTTTGTGATTTGATGTTTTGGTTAAAACATCTAGACAATATCAGATGTATAACTGTTATGAGGACGACGTGTCTCACGTCCCCTGCAGGTGGCCCTGTCGGTTCATAAAAATCACTTGAAACAACATTTTTAAAGAGTATTTACCTGGACTACACACTGTACATGGAAAGCATTCTCTTTCTCCATTTAAATCATTTGTGAATGTTCCTTCGACACAGTGACTACAGGTGGTGATTATGGTGTCCGTGCAGTTTCTTTCCGCGAAGGCTCCTTTAGAAAACACAACAATGTGAAGTTATAGTCCGTGTTGTAAAATGTCTGGTCAGTTCCTCTCAGTGATGGGGAGAAAGAATAGAACATGTTTTTTTAGAGAACCAATGACTTAATCTGCTCCACATCATCACATTAGAGTCAAACCAAACTAACATGGAGACCAAGGACCGACCTTTGAAAGTTGACAAACCAACAACATTTCTTTATTGTACACTTTGAAAGTCCACCAGAAAACTTCCCTAATGGATTTATACATTTTGTATTTCATCTAATAAGAAATTAAAACAGTTTTTAACTCAGATTAAAATCCAACTTTAAGGCGTCCACTGATCCACTTGATTACACTGTACTTTAAAAGTCAGACTAATGTCATTGTTCAGTGTTTGATTCTGGGACAATCCTCTCCTCATATTTTATCACTCAGCTAAAGCTTACCTGGATCACATTTAGGACAGCACTTATCTCCAACTGGGTACTTTGATGGGGGGCAACCTCTAACAAAGGTGGTTCCGAGCACCTGTGCAAAAAAAAGAGGAAAGTTCTTCACCTCTGAGTTTGAGGTTTCTATGAGGAGAAGGTTTTGACAAGGCTTAGGTTTAACACCAAGCAGGTAAACTGGGAATACATTTAAACAACAACATTATTATATTTCATTACATAGACTTTTGTGGCAACTTTGTTTGGTGGTGAGCTGAGGATTCTTCTAATGTTAACACAATGCTGACAAATGTTTTCTTATCAGTGAGTCATTACCTGCCATGTCCAAACCAACCAGCTTTAACTTTTGTTCCATCAGAACAATGAGAAGGTGAAAAATATCTTTAAAAAGTGACAGATTATGAAGTAATGATACTTTACCAACAAATATGTAGATTGACAAAATGTTTTAAAGAGTATAATTTTCACAATGGCACGAAGACTTTCTTCAACTGGGGACGTCATCACATTTAGATGTGGAGTAAGTCGAGTTGTGACACCTGAGAACACAGACAAGAATCGATGACATCCTTGGTCAATTCTTTGGTTGGATCTCAAAACAGATTTCATTTCTAACGCGATCATTTGGAAATATAGTGTCCCAAATGGCTGCTTTGGCTGCAGGTCTTTGTTCCAACAGAGGAGCAGCACACCTGACTTGACAGGTTTAAACTGGTCTCAGTCTTCACCTCCTTTCCCAGCCGGTACATACGTACATTAGACCGGAGATGCACGAGGTGGTCCGACCACGGACCCGGAGATGGTTGTCCTACTTTTTCATTACTTAATTGTAAATAACCTATTTTATCTGTCTGACTGTCTATGGTAGTGTGCCGAAAAAAAGAAGATGCCACACAAAAAAAAAGGACATCAACATATCAACATATCCCTGGCTAAGCATTCTGGATGGAGATTCTGAACCAGCATTCTGCAATTTGTGTAAACAAAAAACAAACAAACCAGCAGCCTCTGTCTGTCAGACATGGTGGGGTAGATTGTTTGTGTAAAATGTATTTAAAAATAAATATATGTAGTTACGGCTCCTGAATCTTGTTATAGCCTAGGTTTTAAATTTTGGTTGGTTTTCTGCTACCAATGTTTTAGAAACGTGCTATCCGTGGTGCAGAGAAAGGCTGTTGGCCTGCCACCTGCTGGATTGTGATATAAAATGTTTTTGGTAGTGGTGGGGTATTTTCATTTTTTATTTTCTTGTTTTCATCACAGATTACCATATAATGCACAAGAGGTGTTGGTTTTACAGACACCTACTTATATCGTGTTTCATTTTACATCAGGTATAAACCTTATAGCAGGGGTCTCAGACTCGCGGCCCGCAGTACAATATTTTGTGGCCCGCACCTTAATATGAAGGTATAATATTAGTGTGGCCCGCGGAGAAAGTGGACCGAATCAGCAAGCTCCCGCGCGCCGTCCCTTGTCGGGGCTAGGCTAGGCTAAGCTACACTAGCTTCGTGCACTTCACGCTTGCAACAACAGCACGGCGTGTAATGAACAGCCAGACAGCAGTCGCCTTAGCGCTTGCCATCTATCGTACTTTCTACCACGAATGTCATGATCAAGCGCAAAAAGAACGGCGACTGTTACCCGGTTGTTTAT